TAAATTATTTCACTTTTAACTCCTACAATATCAACTTGGAATCTTTTAGCCATACTTTTGAAAACTTAAATATGTAAGTTCATTATTATTGCAATCCCTACAAAAATAAAATAAGATAAAATAATAAAATAAAAAAATGTTATTTCATTTGCGTATAGATATGTATAATATTCATTATATGAGTTTAGGAGAGAAAAATAAGGAAATTATACCAATGTCCCTCATGTTTAATAAAATAAATAAAGTTTTCTTCCCAGACATTAGGTAAAAGTGAAAGTAAAATAAAGTGAAGTGAAGGAAAAATAAGTTTCCAAGTCAATTTGGTTAGCACTTCAAAAAATTTCAAGAAAAATTTGTAAAATTATTATTTTATGGTTAAATAGCATGTAAGTTTTATAAATAAAAAAAAAAGGCATTAATATTGTAAGGTCACAAAATTTTCTCAATAAATCAAATTTTTTTTTGTGATTTTTGGAAAAAAAAAAAAAAAAAAATTTGGAAATCTCTATCAACAAGTATCCGGAGTATGGGAAAATATAAAAATTAAAGTATTGTGAGAGCACAATGGCAAGAATGCCAACAACAATAATGATATTATATATGTTAATATTTTTTAGTTATAAATAAAAAAATCTATAACTACTCATTATATAAATTATTAAAGTAATTCTCTATTTTAATCATAATAATTGTGTTTTATTAAAACTTGTGAGATTTGTTTAGTTAGAATTATTTATTAAAGTTTTTAAATCTTTCGTCAAGATAATAATGATATTTATTTTCCAAATTATAATTAAAGTATTAAAAAAAAATCATAAATTAAAATTTGAAATTTTGAAAAAAGCTAAAAAATAAAAGTAAAAAAATAGAAAGTGAAAGTGAAAGGGAAAGAAAGGTGAAGTGAATAAAAGAAAATAGATTTTCTAGCATGCATTTGGTTAGTTTAAAAATTTGTCCAACAAAATTATAGAAAAATATTAGTTTGTTAGTTTGGATAGCATGAAAGTGAAAAGAAAGTGATTATGCATACCAAAACTACGCTTATGAAACAAAATGATAGATTATTAAATTAAATATATAATTGTTTATATTCATTTTTAATAAAGCTTCATAATATTTTATTAGGTAAAACTAATTATTAGTTTAAGATAAACAAATAAAAAAATAATAATTAGAGATGAAGAGGCAATATTATTGTTTGGGAGAAAAATCAAATATTTCACCATATATATATATATATATATCCATACCGAATTATGAGAATTGCAACATAGAACAGATGATTAAAAAAAATAAAAAAATTATATTTAGAAGTATGATCTATTTTGAGTAATTTTACCCAAATTATCATTGATATTCTATATATATAATAGTATAATTTGCCATGCGAACTTACCTCGGAATAGAAGTTTACCTCAAAATTCAATAAAGGAAACTAAATTTTCCATTAGTTTTCTCTTTCTATCTATCCAAATTCTAAAAAAATTTAAAAATTTTCTCTTTCCTTTATTTTCTAACTGTTTCCACCTAACCAAACAAAACCTAAAGAAAATTTGATTTTCTTTCTTATATTAGTTTTCCATATATATATTTTTAGGTTGCACTTTTTTTTTTTGGATTATATCTTTTCAATATATATGTATATTTACACACCTTCTCAGATCAATATTTATATAAAAAATTATATTATAATTATTTACATTTTAAAAAAAAAATTACATAATACTATATCGGCGCCCCAAATCTAGATTTCTGGCTCCGTCCCCGGGAACCACCACCTCCTAACAAGGAAGATTTGGAGATCCTTGCATCCACGTTACATTTGATAACTCCATCTGATGGACAACACCAAAAATCAAGAGACGACTACTTATAGGATTGTTAGACAAAATTTCGGTATTTTTTTTGCACATCCATAAATTCCCAATAACGCTCCACTGCTAAATTTGCAACTTCCCATGGGCTCCAAACAGCATTGTCAAAAACCACCTTATTTCGAGCTTTCCATATAGTCCACAAACAAAAAGAAGCCAAAGCCAAGAAAGACGTTTTCTCATGTGAAAAAAAAACCTGTTTAGAAAGATGAGACCACCACTCGAAAAAATAATTAAATTGAAAAGTTGAGAAATCCAACCACAGGGGTGAAATCTTCTAAACCTAAATAGAGAAAAGACATCGGAAAAATATATGTATAATATCTTCTGCCACCAGCCCACAAACGAGGACAGATATCTTCTAGGCATTCCCGGCACACGAAAGCATACACCGTGAGTAAAGCATTATGGCAACATCTCCAAATAAAATGTTTTACTTTTGAAAGGGTTCTACACTTCCGCACGAATCTCCACCCCGTCCCAATGTACTATGGACTAAGACCCTTATCCGGCACCTTCCTCCTCAAATCACCATAACTTGATGCCAAAGGCTCAAGACACCAAATTTGCTCATCATCTCTATTCGAATGACTAAAAGTAATTCTAGGACGATTCTAATTTAAGGAATCAAAATCATGTTAGAACGATTTCTTCATTTCGTGCAATTGGTGAACTTCATCATTCAAGTAAAAAAAAAAAAAAAATGAAGGAAAACTTCATTTTTTTTAATGATAAGCTAGTAATCTAATACAAATTTCACAAACAACACATATGGAAGTATATTTTTGCCTTCATATTCTAATTTTAATCATGACCCATAGCAGTTGTGATTGGATTTTATACTTTTGGTTTTGAATTTTAAATACATTGTGAAGGTGATTCCAATTTGCAATATGTTATGAATTAATAATGTTTTGTTGGGTATGGTGGAAGAAAAATATGAATGAAATAATAAATTTTGTTGGTTTGGACGAGAGTGAATAAAGAAATAATGAACAATAAGATGGATGAGTTATCATTTCTCCTTTAGCCATCCAATGTTACATTCGGTAGAAATGAAGAAAATTTAATGAAAGGAAAAGAATAATGAATGGATGAGACATCCATATGAAAGATATTGTTGCATCCCCTATTTTTATTCAGTTATATGGAAAAAAGATAAGAAGTTGAGAACTTAATTTGTGTTATTATTAGAGAAGAGAATTTTATTATTTTTATCATTACCAACCACAATCTATACTGTTTATTCGAATTAGTATTTATGAAGAATAGTACTGTAATTTAAAACATTTTATAATAATCCCATTTGTCTTTATTAGGTTTTGTGGCTCAAATTTGTTTTGGAAGTGGTGTTTTGGAAGAAGTTAACATGTTCAAATTATTTAGAACTAGTTCAACTTTTGTTAGAACCAATTGAACATGATTACATCTCCAATTGAACCAATTCAAAAAAAATTTTAAAGGATTGGACATAGAAGTCAAAAGATTTATATTTTAGAGTTGAAAATTGATATAATAACTCTTTGTAGGCAAATTGAGAAATAGTTGTTGAACAAAGAATTGTGTTTGAAGACTCTATAAATAGAGTTGGGTATTGTAGTTAAGGAGTTCCAATTCCATTGAGTTCACCCAAGTCTTTTTACATTAATTGTCTGGTGGTGTATGTGGAATAGAAAGATTGTATATATATGGTGGTGATCAATTATGGGGTGCTCCTAGAGGCTCAATACCATCATCATTGAAAAAAAGGATCAATTTCATATTTGACTTTAATTAACTGAGTTCTCAATTTCTATTCTATTTTTTTTTAAAAATAATATATAAAAATTATCGACGCATACTTAAAGTATGAGGCAAAATTGCACTAAAAATCTTTAAACTGCTTAAATGTCTTGGAAAACAACCCCAAACTATATATTTATTTTGCTGTGCCAAATGATCCCTTCAAAATTTAAAAAACTGTCAAACTACACTTTTGAACCAATTTAGTTTTTTTATTTTATTTATTGTAATTTTATAAATTTGATTTTCCATTCATTTTTAAAAAGACAAAAATAATGATAGAAATAATATGACACAATATATGTATAAATAAAATAAAGGATAATTAGACTTGATTAATTTTTCCATGACCAACTTCTATTTATTTTAACGGACAAGTTTCTCTCTCTCTATATATAAATATATATATGAAAACAAAATAGATGAACATTTAAATACAAAAAGTCACCATGAAGTGCAGTTACTAAGCTCGCGTGGTGGTGTTCCACGTGGTATATGTTACATCCACATCATAAACTTTACCAATTGCTAAAATTGGTAAAATATATTCCCACAAATTACGCATTAGAGAATGCCATTTTGGTAATTAAACTAACCTATAAGGCAAAATGTTCGATATATAGATCAGAATCTCACATATTAAAGTTCATTTGGCTTCATGCTGCCATTTAAAAAAAAAAAAACAAACAAAAGTGGCCACTTGCAACGCTCTGCAAATATGAACGTTGCTTTGTTTTTAAACTGAAAAAAAAAAAAACACGTTGCTTTGTTCTTGTGCTCCATAATAGCTTCCATCAGTAGGTAGGGTAAAACATTAAATAAGAAAGTGATTTCATTATAATTTATTAACATGCAACAGTGGCCATATGGTGGGTATAATAAAATCCATTCCCACGTACGTCCCTGACACATATACTGTGTATATATAATGATACACCCTCACAGTGGATATATGAAAAATGCAAATAAACAAACACATGTCGTGTTTGAGACATCTAGAAGGCAAGCTTGAAATCGTGTTTGGTTCAGATTAGTTATCTGCAAGTGTTTTACCGTACCAAGACGCAGTTAATGTTTTCACCGTCCATGCGTTTGTCATGTCTCGGAGGTTAATTACTATGGCATGAGGAATGAGTAACGATGCGACAGTTATTCTAGGATTCCTTTCCCACATCCAGAAAGGCACTTTGGTAGAAAGCAAGAAAAAAATGTCTTATTTCAGTAAATCATGAATTTTTTTTTCCCCCACAAACCAAACAAAGCACTAAAATCATCAATTGAGCGCCAGACACGCTGCTCAAATTTATCTCGCCAATCGAGGCATTGCCACGTTGCCAACACTGTCTTACGTGTTACAGCTGACGTGCCATAGGCTCCTCCTTCCTCTTTAAAAAGCCTCTATTCCCCTTCTCTCTCAACATTTTCACTCTCTTTCTACACCAACGCTAACAGAGAGAGCTATAGCACTCACCAAAAAGCAAATAAGAACTCTTTCTCTCTAAAATTTTCGATCTCATTCTACTTTCTCTCTCTAACTGAACTCTTTTGATTGGGAGTGAAAAATGGCGGAGAGTTCCTGTAGAAAGCTCATCGTTGAAATATGTAACGCAAAGAATTTAATGCCGAAGGACGGACAAGGAACGGCAAGCGCTTACGTGATTGTTGATTTTGATGGTCAGAGGCGTCGAACAAAGACGAAATTTAAAGATCTGAATCCAGAATGGGACGAGAAGCTGGAGTTTCTGGTTCAAGATTCGGAGTCTATGGCCTCTGAAACTCTTGAAATCAATGTATACAATGACAAGAAGACTGGCAAAAGAAGTACTTTCCTCGGTAAAGTCAAGGTTGCCGGAAGTACTTTTGTGCAATCTGGATCAGAGACGCTTGTTTACTATCCTCTGGAGAAAAGGAGTGTTTTCTCGCAGATCAAAGGCGAGATCGGTCTGAAGATCTGCTATGTAGACGAAACTCCTGCGGCGGCGGAAGAGGCAGCAACGCAGGAGGAAGCTCCACCGCCGCCCGCTGAGGAGGAGAAGCTGCCGGAGAAGGAAGAAGATAAGAAAGCAGGGCAAGGAGACGAAAAGAAAGATCCGGAAGAGAAGAAAGAAGAAGAAAAGCCGGCGGAGGAAGCCAAAAAAGAAGAGAAACCGAATGAGAATCCAAAACCAGAGGAGACTTCAGTGGTGGCATCACCGCCGTCGGGGGAGGTGGAGAATCCTCCGATCGCTCAAGCGGAGAAGCAAAAACAGCAGGAGAAGGCGATGATCTCGAAAGTGAATGAACACCTGGAACTTCGATCTCTCTCCGGCGATCGAAGCCGTAGCGCGTACGATCTTGTTGATCGTATGCCGTTTCTCTACGTCCGCGTTGCCAAGGCCAAAATAGCTAATCCGGAGGCTGATACGTCCGTCTACGCGAAGCTCGTGATTGGAACTCACAGTATCAAAACGACGAGTCAAATTGATAAAGATTGGGACCAAGTGTTTGCCTTTGACAAAGAAGGCCTCAACTCTACCTCCTTGGAGGTGTCCGTTTGGGTTGAGAAGAAAGGTACGGATAATTCTACAGAGACATCTTTAGGTACTGTTTCATTTGATTTGCAGGAAGTACCCAAGCGAGTACCACCGGACAGTCCTCTCGCTCCACAATGGTACACCATTGAAGGTTCGCCAGAAAATTCGCCGGGAACTGACGTCATGCTCGCCGTTTGGATTGGTACTCAGGCGGACGAGGCCTTTCAGGAGGCCTGGCAGTCGGATTCCGGCGGGTTGGTTCGGGAGACCCGAGCCAAGGTTTATCTCTCTCCGAAGCTGTGGTATTTGAGACTAACGGTCATCCAAACCCAAGATCTACAACTAGGCTCGGGTTCCGAGCCTCCTAAGGTGAAGATCCCCGAGCTGTACGTTAAGGCTCAGCTCGGCGCACAGCTTTTCAAGACAGGTCGAACAACGGTTGGCTGCTCCACTCTGTCCTCCAATCCTACGTGGAATGAAGACCTTATTTTCGTAGCAGCGGAGCCATTTGAGCCGTTTTTGGTAATAACTGTGGAGGATGTTTCAAATGGGCAATCAGTGGGCCATGCTAAGGTCCACGTGGCGAGCATTGATAAGAAAACAGATGACGGATCAGAGCCAAGATCCAGATGGTTTAATTTGGTTGGTGATGAGAAAAAACCTTACGGGGGAAGGATACACGTGGGAGTGTGTTTGGAAGGAGGCTATCACGTGCTTGATGAGGCTGCTCACGTGACCAGCGATGTTCGAGCAACAGCAAAACAGTTGTCCAACGCTCCGATTGGATTGCTGGAAGTGGGCATTCGTGGGGCTTCTAATCTGCTTCCGGTGAAGACCAAAGACGGTACGCGAGGGACCATAGACGCCTATGTCGTCGCGAAGTATGGGCCCAAGTGGGTCCGGACTCGTACAATCCTTGATCGATTTAATCCACGGTGGAACGAGCAATACACATGGGATGTATACGATCCTTGTACTGTACTCACGATAGGCGTGTTTGATAACGGAAGGTACAAGCGCGATGAAGCTGGGAAGCCAGGCAAAGACATGAGGATTGGCAAGATACGTGTACGGCTGTCAACGCTGGAAACCAATCGGGTGTACATGGGTTCATATTCGCTTACGGTGTTGCTTCCCGGTGGGGCCAAGAAGATGGGTGAGATAGAGATTGCGGTGAGATTCTCATGCTCATCGTGGCTCAGTCTCGTCCAGGCGTACGCTAGCCCCATGCTGCCTAGGATGCATTATGTGCGCCCTATGGGTCCGGCGCAGCAAGATATCCTGCGCCACACCGCAATGCGGATTGTGACGGCTCGGCTCGCCCGGTCCGAACCTGCTTTGGGTCAAGAAGTGGTTCAGTTTATGTTGGATTCCGACACGCATATGTGGAGCATGAGGCGAAGCAAGGCCAATTGGTTCCGAGTTGTTGGGTGCTTGTCGAAAGCAGCCACTTTTGCACGGTGGCTCGATGGAATTCGCACCTGGGTGCACCCACCCACCACTGTCCTAGTCCACGTGTTGCTCGTGGCTATTGTGTTATGCCCACACCTGGTCTTGCCCACTATTTTCATGTACGCATTCTTAATCGTAGCGTTGAGATTTCGATACCGCCAGAGGGTCCCATTCACCATGGATCAAAGACTGTCATACGTTGAAGTTGTGGGACCGGATGAGCTTGATGAAGAATTTGATGGGTTTCCAACCACGAGATCAGTGGAACAGATCCGAATCCGTTATGATCGGTTACGAGCACTGGCGGGTCGGGCTCAGACGCTCTTAGGTGATGTGGCAGCACAAGGAGAGCGTTTGGAAGCTTTGTTTAACTGGAGGGACCCACGTGCAACTGGGATATTTGTCGTGGTCTGCTTGCTGGCTTCGTTGATATTCTATGTGGTGCCATTCAAGGCATTTGTGTTGGGGTCAGGGTTTTATTACCTGCGACACCCGAGGTTTCGCGACGACATGCCGTCAGTTCCCTTCAACTTTTTCCGTCGACTTCCGTCTTATTCCGATCAGATTCTGTAGTATTTTTTGTATTTTTGTTTTTGTTTTTGTTTTTATTGGGACAGCGAGTGTGGTGCACTCTCTCCGTGAAGTAGTAGGTTGTGGTGTTTGTTAAATGAGAAATTACATTATTTTATTAATTTATCATCTGGTTTCAAGGAGAAAAATAAGCATTCAATATTGAGCAGAAAGTAGCATGGGGAGCCTTTAATTGGCAAAAAGTGACCGTTGATGTATGGGGTCATTCATTTATATAAGGCTGGTTTACAAAGAAGGTGAGTGAAAAAATATTTATAATACTCACTAGTGTGAGTGCATATGGTAGAACTTTTTGAGCAATCTATCGGTACAATCCTGAGCTTCCATTTGTGTGTATATACAATCACATGATCAATGGCTGTCCTTAGCAGTGTTCATAACATTCCTCAAAAGAATCCAATGTTAGTTGTCTATTGTCACTGAAACATAGTTAAGCAAACAAAGTCTTTGTGGGTGTTCAGTCCACACTGAACCACTCTAATTTCAGCTACTTGGAAGGCAGTAGTTGCGATAGTGAAGCCCTGCTACTTTTGCTCATCAAAAAATTTGTGATCAGATATTTTTATTTTATTAATTAAATCTTATGGGTTAATAAAATTGAATCTTACTCAAATTCGCTTCATGTCATGCCCTACTTGTACCAAAAGCAGACCTAAAAATCTAATTAGTATCTTATAATTCGCAAGTTACTTCACAATAGTGATTTTTTAGACGTAATCAATGTACAAATCCAAAATACAAACGAGTCTGAAAGTAGCTAGAGGCTCCACATTAAATCATGGCCCGCTCTTTCTCAATTTCTCTTAGTGTTTACCCTTTAAGAACAAACAAGTATATGAGCTTTTCGACAAACCGATTGTTTTGATCATGTTTTAAACAATTCAAGATATGCCTAACCTTGACAGGAAGGGTGACTAATATTACAATCACTATTATTCATTTTAGTTTAGAATAAATCATTTACATTGTCGCTTATTGAAATTCTGTGCAGCAACCAGCTTTTTTAACAAAGTTTTCAGCCTCCTAGCACCTGTTCCAGGCCTAAGAACACCATGTTTCTCACTCTGCAAGCCCGAGCATGTATTGTGCCTATTTTCGTTGTTAGAACACCACCCACCATACGTGAATTGCCCATTGCGCCTTCTGAGAAGCTCGCGATCAATCTTCTTAAGGACAGGGTCATTTTTCTTGAACTTCCTTGCAAATGGGCGGCTGCTTAGAACCATTCTTCTGTAATCTTTGAGTCCCAGGGACCTCGGGTGTTGCTTTGGAGGCGTATCCCAAGTAATGTAGTGAAGATCATGGTTCACGGTGGTGTTCCTATAGTCCGCAGAGTTGCATATAACTGTCTGAAAGTATCCCTCCGGCGATGACACAAAATTTGTATAGTAGAGAAGGAGGGTCCTTGGCAGATTGTCCCAGCCCACTATGCAGTACTCTGCAAAAGATCTTGATAATATTGTCCAAGCTGAACCTGCATAGATGTTTAATGCAATTTAGTAATGCTTACAACTTCTTCTTCTTCTTTTTGTTTTTTCCTTGTGTTTCTTCTCAATCTCTATCCGTAATTCAACATATACTTCAAGAAAGTGAGCAAATGCAATGGTTTCTGAAAGTGTACTTGGATAGTCACGGAAAAGAGTTTGGTATTGAAAAAGGTTTCATTATTCTTTCATTACTATCTCTCCAAAACTCCTATTGATAACAAAGGAAATACAGGTATGGCACATGCATATACCTTCTAGGCTTCTAGCTTCAACATATAAACTGTTTTTTTTTTTTCACCATGTATAGTTAAGTACAATTTAGGGTCTCAAAGCAGTAGTTTTTTATATGCAGCTCAATTTAATTGCCCTAAAATCTAAATCCGTGTTACGATGCATTGTCCAGAAACTCAGAAAGATTGCGCATAGAAGTAATGATTTACTGAAATCTATTAGTCCCTTTGTTCGAGCAGAAAAGCACATGATTTCGGCTTTCCAACATCACATGTGCATTTTCTAGATCATGCAGCCTCAAACATTTGGAATATTTCCTTATCCATAAGAGAAACAAAATTGCAGCATAAATAATTAGCAAGATTATTCACAAAGACATCTCAGGTATAAAAAATGGCCTCTTTATTCTTGTCCTTGATACCCAGTCTAATACTAAAGATGAAAAGTTACAGGGTATGACAAAATGGAGGAAAGATGTTTCCCTCCTCCATTTTCCTCACCTCTTCCCTCTATTAAACGGGGGAGCTCCTCTGTCATTCCCCTTTCCCTTCATTTCATTCTCTCCATTCTTCCCTCCAACCAAACACTTTCTATCAGTGAAACTGATTTAGAGATCTTCCACCTTTAAATTCAAGTTTATTTAAAACAAACCCATGTATGATCTATGATGGTGGTTGTGGTTAATTTAGTGTGAAACTGGGGGCTGAAATGAGATTTTGCAGGTTTAGTGGCAGAGCCCACACAGGTAGGTAGAGTAATGGAAAGCACCAACAACATATTCAATATTAGTGCTTTATTGCAGATTTATGATCTTTTTATTTATTATTTATTTTTTGAACTAACATTCTAACATGTTATGACAATGAAGTACAGCTAGCATCAAACGCCTACTAAACATGACTAATAGCACCAAACAAATGAAAAGGGCATTTGATTTTGACCCATTGTAGCTAGAATCATATAACCATACCCTAGTGCTTAATTCCTTATGCATCACACCATTAATAATCATATTCTTTATTAAAAGATTATCATGCGGTATTATAATCTCTGCTTCTCTCTTGCACATTTCACATTTTATTCTATTTTGATGTTGACAATGGAGCGGTTTAGTAATAAAAAACCCGTGATCTGACGTGACAAATCTTCTTCTTTGCGGTTTTCAATCATCAAAGATGTTGTTTATGTAAAAGCCTACATTAAATCTAATGGCATTAAACTACTCCAAATCAAGGCCATTAATCACTACTTTCATCCTCTGCTCTAATCAAACTATTTATAGGTCCCTCTGTCTTTTAATCATTCTCTACTCTAATCAAACTAGTTATAGGTCCCTCTGGCTTTTAATCATTCTCTGCTCTTACCATAAGTTTTATTGAAGCAATTGAAGTTTAGTTTATGAGTCACGAGTCACGACAGACCCGTGTGTGTGTGTGTGTGAGAGAGAGAGAGAGAGAGAGACACAAAATTAGCGGTTTACCAATGGATCCTTACGTTTTTTAAAAGATACTTTATGTATTTTAATAAAAATATGCCATTGTCACACAATGAGTGACCTGTTTGAAAGAATTTAAATATTTTATTCTGTTTTTGGTGAATGAAATATTTTATTGTGTTAGGAGGAGTATCTAATGAAATGAAATACAAGACATCACCATGTACTTCGGTATCTTTATTGTCTGTGCCCTTTTCAGAAAGTTCACGTGCCATTGATAAGAAATTGAAGGCTCTCCTACTTAGAGAGGTTATGGAAGGGTTTGATGCCAAAGATAGGATAGGAGGAAAGATAAAAACCTGTATAAAGCTTGAAAGCAGTTGGCAGACTCCTCTGTTTGATAACCCACCAGATCTCTGATTTATTAAGACTATAGAGACCTGGATCAATTATAATTGGTTTCCCTCTCTTATTCCTGCAAAAATTTGTAACAATAACTCAATAAGTGTGTGTTTATATGAAGACCACAACTATAACAACACATTGCAAAGTCTCTCACAGTTTCCAACCCAAGTGACTGCTGTGCTGTATGAAATTGAGATCTCTTGGCAACTCAGAGAAGGCATGGATCAGATCTGAGATCATTAAATCAAAAGGAGTAATTCGATTATGTCACTAGGTGGTGTACGGTAACACATATCCATATGTGTGATCGGACACACAGTACAACACAAATGAAATACACAAACTTAAAGAGAGAGATAAACAATTACAAAGAAAAAGGTCACTCACCATACCATCTTGAGTTACTAAGGGATAATCAGAGGCACTGAGGTTAATAAACCAGTCCCATTTGGCGGCAATCCTCAAAAGCATAGACATTGCGTGGAGAGTGGTAGCTAACATGGTTGGACCCCTGTATGTGACCAAATTGGGCTTCCCAACTATCCAAACATTACCCACTTGGCTGAAAACGGGCTCGCCGGAGACAAACTTAGCCATCTCCAAATGCTCACTCTCTGGTGCACCATAGTCCATGTGGATCAGATAGTAATTCCCAGGATGGTACAGTGCACGCAGTGCGCGTTTTAGCTTTGCCAAGTCCCCTTTGGCTGCTGAGATCAAGTAAGCAAATGTAACTGGATATGGGTTGCTTGATTTTGGGACGATGAAGCTTTTGCTAGGCCTCAATATGGTGATGGGTTTTGTTAGTTGGGTTGGTATGTAGAGGAGAGAGAATATGAGTGAAATTAGCATGAAGGCGATCATAAAAAACTTGATACCCATTTTTGCAAATTTTGATCTCAGTTTTAGAGAGAGAGAGAGAGAGAGAGAGAGAGAGAGAGGGATCTAGTGTGGTATGGAAATGGTGGGTAGTTTAAGTGGTTAATATTTGAGGGGTTTGGGAAGGATGGGATTATAAGAGGGGAAGAGTGTAGATGAGATGTTGGGGGTTGGGTTCCTTTCTTGGAAGGAAAGGACTCCATTTGTCACTGTTTGGTAATATAACCCTTTCTTCTGATGTGTGGGGCCAGCTTACCCCAATTGCCATCTCAACTTTATAAAAGAAGGAATTGGGTTTCAGTTCCAGTTACAGTTCCAGAATTACAAGAATATATATGGACACTTGTCTGCCCATGCCCATCAATTAGTTGAACTTTGTATTATCATGGGTTTGTCAAGCCCAACCTCGGCTCTAACACTTTTGAGTTAAGCCCAACCTTGTTTCTAGTACCTTTGAGCCCAATCTCTAAAAAACGCCAAAAAAAGAAAAAAAAAAAACAAATCCAGTGTTGAGTAACCTTGACAAAGCAAACAATGATTTATCGTGCAGGTATGCAATCACTTGTTCTAATGGTAGCACAGAAGCACATTGTAAAGGTCACGTCAAAACGGGTCAGTATGACGTTGATCAAATGGGCCCGACCCAGTTTTAGCTTGTCAGGTTGTGACCTGCTCGTCGTGCTGGATGTTTAAAATGGGTTAGTTGGCAGGCTCGAGCTCGAAGCCTTCATGAGTGGGCTAGGCCCAAGGTAGTTGAAGCTTGGACCGGTCTGCCTGAGTCCAATAGGCTTGTTGTCCAACCTTTTGGATCAACCCTATATGGTCCATTGATGTCCCACGTCATTTTTTTAATTAATATCCGGTGTCAGCTTGATATATTATTGTTAATTGTTTTTGTTTTTGTTTTTGTTTTGGGCGGTGCAGTAAAGAGATAGGATGAGTTAACAATTGTGATTTGGACTAGGATCAAATCAAATGGGACACGTAGAAAACATATTATCTACTTTTTCATTTATTGAGACGGAGAGAGGGACAAAGAATTGTTGTCAATAGTTAGGCACATAAGAAAAGTGACACCTTCCCGCAATGCATCTTTTTCTTTCAACTTCAGAACTAATAAAGATGGCGTCTACATGCCAGAACACGAGATCCATATGTATGTAGACACTAGGTAGTCAATTTGGCACATCACATTTTCTATTAACTACTACTACTACTATATATATCATTATATATCATTATATATTATTATACACTTGTATAGTCCACATAACAACAAAGCTCTTGTCCGCTGCAGTTGTGAATGTGCCCACCAAAATAATACGACCCACATTCGTATTATTTTGAACAAACCTTGGCATCTTGCAGTTGCACAGTCGGCTTAGATTGTTTTGACATAAAATATATATATTTTAAATTATTTATTTTTAACAAATAAAATATTTTTTTATTTTAATTTTTTGGTGTTTGACAAAGATTTTTATTAAGGTTGAGTCCATCGAGCGAGACATGTAAAATGATTTGTCAAAAATTATTGAACAAGTTATTTTTGTTAAATTTTAATATATATTTTTTCCATAAATGTTTTACGACAACCAAATACCAGAAAATAAAAAAATATTTTCTAAAAAATATTTTACATCCAAACAAACGGAGCCTTAATGATTAATATTTTGACAAAAAAAATGTGTCATCATTAATTTTTTTATAAATTTTTATCTCTTCAGATATGAACTAGAGTGAAGAGTTCATCTCTCAAATATAAGACGAAAGAGAGGGTAAAGACAAGTTAGAGTATTATAAAAGTTTTAATATAAAGTACTATCATTAACAAATATTAAAAAAATAGATACTATGATTAATATAATAGTAAAAACAATTTACAAAATTATCTATTTCCTTCTCTTTTAACTAATAATTTAATAAACAAAGTAAATTGTCGATTCTTCTCTGTTCAAATTCGAATCCGTGTAACAAACTTTAATCCATGCTCTACACTATTCAACACGAATTTTAACTATTACACGAAAAATGTCCTGTATTACAAAATAAGATGTATGACCTTAGAAATAATAATTTGGTTACTTTATACTGTTTTTGGTTAAAGTGGTTAGTTTTATGGTTGAGACTTGAAAGCATACAGGATCCAAATTTGACGCATTCATAATGAACAATTAAAGTGGTACAATTCATTCCAAAATTATAATAGCCAGGAGAAATTTCTCGTGAGCATCCCCTTGGGACCCTTCAGTTTGAAAGTAATCAACATATGTGTACTGCTTGGTCTCACCAACTTATCCATGTAAATAAGGTTTCCATGAGCACCACATAACATAAGCCCTCTTCCATGGGATATTATTGTGGTTCTTAGGTCAAAATTATAATGATGCCGGACAGCTGGAGAAGATAAGGCATGGGGGAGCTCCCCGTGCGCAAAAATTATTTACGACAAAAGATCATCATCTTTATTCTTACTTTAATTTCATATGAATGAAGATTTTGATGTGTCGATATTTGAATATTATGATATTGTACCAATCCAGTGCAGCTATGCCCGGTAGGCATCAACATATTTATTTTGCCCCCTTCACAAGGATATACATGCAGGCTAGAGTAAAGTTCGATAGAGGATTCAAAAATAAAATAGGGTTTTGTGCTTAAGTTTTATTATGGGATTTACAAGCGAACTAAAAATATCCTAAAATGTTAGAACTTTCATGACATTCTGTTGCATGATAGTCTCACAAGGCGTTATTTATTTATTTATTATTATTATTATTATATTTTTTTAATACCGTACTTTAAACTAATTTTTCCAATTTCATGTAACCTAATATGACATATGAGTTTTTTATTTACCAATATTTTATTACAACATTATCGAACATGTCTATATTCATATTCAGGGACGGATCCAGAAAGTTGTTTTTTTATATATAATTTTAGGGATAGCAACGTGAAAATTTCATAAGTATGTAATTAAAAATAAAAAAAATTAGTAGTATATAATAGTTAAAAAAAAAAAAAAAAAATCAGTGGAAGTTGCCCCCATTGACTATAAAGTGACTCCGTCCCTATGCATATTCTTTTACTTGAAAATATTGATTATCAATAAATCATAAAATTAATTTAGGATAAGAGAATTATAATCCTTCTTTCACCGTTGGATTAAGATGGATGCACTAAAAGAACCGAAAAATGTATGAAACATTTTTGTTATGCACGTTTTAAATTTGAGGTCAATAAGTTGCAAATTTTCATGTAATGAGAGAACTAGGATCACGAAGGTGTGTCAAATAATTCCAATGGCATGGATGAGTATGGACCACTACATAGACCAATTTGGCTTGATATGAATATTATTGGTTGAGGTGATATATAGTTGTACATTTATTTTATTTCCAAGAGATGAAATAACCCATGTCAGAGCAGGGGACCTTTGACACTGATCGATCTGTGGATGCGACCATGTGATGTGGTTCGCAATTTGCCCAGCGAACCTTAGTTTTGGAGTTTAGCATATACTTCCCATTCAAAGTTGGTACAGGACCAACCCATTGCCTACCAATAGTATTTAAAATCAGTAATATTTATGACAATACTATTAATCCCATTTTTTACTAACTATTAAATCTAATTAATCTTATAATCTTTTTTTAGGTCACAAACTATGTGTGTGTGTATCTAGAAGGTAAGTAATAATCAAATACATATCTTCAGTTAGATTTGAACTTAGAATTTTTACGTTGAAGAATAGGGATCCATATCACTAGGTCACAAACTATTGAATCAAAAGAAATCTAAGTACTTCTCACTTTATCAGTCCCACGTTTTTAAATACAAAAATGGAAATAGAAAAAAGGAAAAAATTACTTAAGGCACAAACTTATAACTTTACATGTACGAGTAAATTTGTTAAAGAATAGTATTTTGCAAGTGTAAATATGGAGAAATATATGGTTAAGTAACTTATATTGCAACTTTACAAAAAAAAAAAAAAAAAAAAAAAAAAAAGAAAAAAGAAAAAAGAAAATGATGGATGTTAATACAAATATATAAATATATATATATATATATATATATATATATACCAAAACAAAAGATGCTAATATCAAATATCTAAGAAATTAATAGAGGTTTAAAAAGTGGAATTTTATATATTTGTATTAACATCCATCATTTTCTTTTTTCTTTTTTCCTTTTTTTTTTTTTGTAAAGTTGCAATATAAGTTACTTAACCATATATTTCTCCATATTTAAGTTTTAACTACGAGAGGGGCTATCAGCTTTAAAGGACATATACCTAAAGCATGATGCATGTCTGAGTCTCTACATGCTATATATTGCAACATTACAGTGTGATGCAACACTGTAAATCCCACATTTCAGAGTCTCAAAATTTTTCGACTTGAATTTAACTTTTTATATGACGGTGATTTTTAATATTTATTTATTGTATTAATAATAAGTAAATTTTTAAATTTATCCTTGTTAAAAGATAATATGCATAGTGCTTGTTTAATCAAGTGAATGTGAAAAGGGTAGTTTGGAAATGTTATAACTTTTAAATAATAGTACATCTACTTTTGATGTGGAACATGTTTGTTTTTTATTTTATTTTTTGGTAAATAAGTGGGACATGTACTTGGAAAAATAGAAAGATGATCAAGAATTTTAGAAGGAATAATATTTTATGGTATATTTGCACTATTTTTGTGAATTTAAAGCATCGCAAATGTGTGGGCGGATCTATACAGTGATTATTTGAGATTTTTTATTTCATAAAAAAGATATATTGTATAAGTGAACAATTTTCAGTCTCATGGATTAAATACGATGAATCTGTGTAATCTGTCATCACTTTTCCTTTTTTGTTTTTTTTAGCAATGCTACACGTAGAATAAAACTTGAAATATGTATCTCGAATATAAGGTGACGCTGCCAATGAAAAAATAAATATATCCTTCATTTTAATAATATTTAAATTATAATTAAATTAAAAAAATAAATATATTCAAAATTGAACAAATGATTCTGATCATATATATACATATATAATGTTCTAATTCCACGGGTATAATGAGCATATTCAACCCCTAGTCTCTTGTTATCACAAGAGAGAACAAGAGACTATATTAAACCCCGAGAATTAGGGTAAGACTACAACAGAAAAGAGCCACGTTATAATAGAAAGTGACTTGCATATATAAATTTATATAGATAGAGTAGATAAGGTACATAAATGGGGGGTGAGCTTGTTGTAAACTTGTCAAGTGGTAGTAGGGTTCTTGTGGTTTCTGGGAGTCTTGGCTTGACTCTTACTGTCACTTCTTGCCCCCCAAAAAAAAAAATAATAATAATTAATAAAATAAGTGTGTTTTATATTTAGAGAGAGACGTAGTTAATTACCTAAAACCAGATTATTAGCTGAAATCTAGAAGGATAAAGTACTCTTATTGAGAAAAGGAAAATAATAAATAAAATAAAAATAGAGAATTAGGTAAAAGAATATCTTTCAAATGTTTTAACATGACTTAATAAGATAGGTTAACATCACATCTTATTGCTGGCAATGACGATAATTGGTTTGTAAATATTGAGCCAAGTGGAATACATCACTGCCCAAATTGAAAAGTATGCATCTCCAGCTAACAATTTCTTTTTCCTTTATTTCTTTATTTTTTGGTTGGGTACAATTACTAATTTCAGCTTTTGCTCAAACCTATTAAATCATTAATGAACAACATTAATTCAAATGATACAAGTTCTCCTCCTTATAAGAGGTCGAGTGTTCTAATCCTAACAATATTGTGGACTTGTTCTGAAGTTAGTGGACAGGTGTGGGTTTGCATAACTACCAAAAAAAAAAAATTGAAATTTGATTAATCAAAATGGAAAATGTAATGGTAATAAACAAATAATATAGATAAAATTAAATGAAGAGACCAAAGGAGTCCTCACTTGAATTGATAAACAAGCAGTATAGAATATACATATAAAAGATACAGGCTTCAATAATTTTCTTGTCTAGTGGCAATTAATGCTATCGGTGTAATAATAAAACATAGTTCTACAATCAAAAAGAGGCTCACCTCTCTTCATTTTTTTTTTTTTTTTTTTTTCCCTAGAGACTCCCCTTTAGGATTTGAAGAAGAAAGGGTCCTGAAATTGCAATATCCCAAGAACCCTAGCAAGCCTCAAAAACAGAAAGCAGAAGTATATAGCCAATAGTCCAACCCCCATAAACTTATCAAGCCTCATATTTTTCTTGGGCAAAATCACAAGTGCCCAAAGCAAGCCAGCCATCAAGAAGCCTAGAGTCTCATAGAGAGAAGGGTCAGTAGGAATCACATAAGAAGATGGATATTCAGACCATGAAGCAAAAACAAGTGACAGTCCCAACCCTATCAAAGTGTTGAACATGGGTCCAGCATAACAACCCGATATCGCGATCTGGGTCCCGTCTGGACCTCCATTTACAGCCATGGCAACATCTGCTATTAGATCTCCAACTGAGTTGCCCCAAGCTAGGACAGTGAGTCCTAGAATTGAAGGGCTTATCCCAAATATAGTCCCAAGTGAAACCAGCAGAGAAACCAATTCCTCTGCTATAATATATGTCCAAGTTATGCTCATCAAAAACCCACCTGCAAGCCAAGGAAACAAACACTTCTTTGGTGGCCTAGACCTCTTGGTGGCCATAAATGCCAAATTCCCCAAAATGATCCCTACTAACCCTGAACTCATGTAAATCACCAAGCTGGCTGATGAAGTCATGTTTTCTTTTTGGGTGTTCCAAAGGGTTGCTAACAAAATTGGAGCCAAAGTAACTGAAATAACTGCAAATGCCTTGGACCATCTTTCCTCACTAACAACAGGTATAGAGAGCCTTCTTGGCAAGTAAAGTGGGAACTCCAAAACCCATAGTAACCAACCCAAGTGAGCACAAATTGATGAATCAAGATTCAAACACCTTCTTCTTTGTTTCTGTCCAAAAGCTTCAACATCACTTTTCTCCACTAAATTGGGTTTTTCTTCATCCACACAACCCATCAATGGTGTACCCATCTCACCAAATTCATCTCCGAATACGCTCCTTGAAGAAGGGGAAACTGCAGACAGATTCACTACCCTTTCTTTCTCTCTGTAAAAGCAGTGCATGGCAGAAACCGAACATATGTAAACAAAGTAAATGGAAGCGAAACAAACTGCAACCCAAAAGTGGATTCTTCCAACAATTATGATCAACAGAAGTGAACAAAGAGAGAAGAGAAAGAACAACACATCTCTAATGAAACTAGGCTTATCAACGGTAACCTGACGAGGGGAGATTAATATACTTATAATCCCCACCACAATACAAGAAACGAAAAATGCCCCACCCAAGACACTGTTCAGGCCAACATCACCATCTCCGGATCGCGTAAACGATATGATACTTGCAAACACATCGTTTGCACCATTGCCAAGCGGAAGAAGGGTGGTACCGGCGATGGTGGGAGAGAGCTTCAAGGCTCTAGACAAGCTTTCTACTGCAGGACAGAAGTATTCTGAAGCTGTGTTGGCCAATAAATAGAATAGCAAAACAAGCCATATGAGAAGTGTAGCATAGCCTAATCCAGGCAATTGGCCACAGCTGCAATAGAAGACTTCAAGGTAGTTTATGTACCCTTTGGGTTTGCAAGCACTGTGTGAAGTCACATACGCGCACTTTACTTCATAATCAGCGTACTCGTGGATGCCGGTGCAGCCATCGCCGTTGACGGCCAGGATGGTGTTAGTTGAAGTACCCTTTGGTGGGTTGAGAACATTGGTGATGAGGTAGAAGGAAAACAGGAAGAGGAAGGTTGTGTTGAAGAAGAGAGAGAGTTTCTTGGACTGTGAGGTGAGTCTACCCATTCAAAAGAGATGCTAGAGAGGGAGGTATTGGAGGTGGTGTTGATGTTGGAAGATAATAGACTCCATGGTTTTTGAGGAGCTCTGGTTGGAGATGAGTTAAGAAGGTTGTCTTTTGGTTAACAAATTTCGGAGGATTCTCATGATGAAGGAAAGTTAATTATTGAACTATGACATAGACAACTCTATATGGACGGACTTGTAAGAAACAAATAAATTAATGTACAATATATTGTTAACAAGTTAAATCAACCGGTGTGTGGTCATATTCACCTGTGCTGCTGTAGGTAAGGAGCTTTATTTTTACTGGTGTCAAGTTGCCTGCATAAAAGAAGAAGGAAAGAAAGAGAGTCAGTTAACGTTTTTGTATATTACAACCGAAAACTATCATGATACCATGTTAATATTCCCAATTTAGGTTTTATGATATCAAAGTCAAATTGAAGTTGTAAAACATGCTGAGTATATTCGCTGATAATTTCAGTATCAGATGGCAATCTTCACCTGTGTTTCTCAAACAGTTTTAACCTTTTGCATATGTACTTTGAGTGCCAACAATCCAGGAAACTTCCTAGCAGCTCAACGGATAAATCAATCACACTGACACACACACACTAAACAGAGACACAAAATATCAAGTGCTGAACTCTAAATCTTCAACGCCATGATTTAATAACAACAAAAGATTTTGATGCATAATTCATCATATTTCGTCTAATTTTATTTAGTTACAAATAGAAATCGCAATAGGTGTTGTAATAGTATTCCAAGTAGCAATTATTTCTTCCCATCTTCTCAACAGCCAAACAGGGTATAAAAGTGGGGCTTGGAATTCCACGCATATGAAATCGCACCACTTTATACTGACATTTTTTTTTTTTATACTGACATTGATACACACACATGCACATATAAAAACAAAATAAATAATCTGTATGTATAAAACTGAGTGATGGTAAATGGATTATACCCCTAAATCAAGACACCCACCTCAAGTAGCGTCATTTAACACACCCAAAAGTTGTTGAGCTTTTACTCCTATCAAATACAACACCACATCTTCATTCCAACTTAGTCCCAACAATACTTAACCAAGAGGTGTCACCGTGTCACCAGCAGAGACCTAGCATAAAGTGTCCAGACAGACCATATTTACTACATGCCAGGTTTAAAACTATTACATAATTTGCATCAATGAGTCACCTTTCTGAAAAAAAAGAAAATACATTCTTCACAACCTGCCCATGATATACGCCATCCTTCAACTTATATATCAAACAGTCAAAACCATCTACATAGTCATCATTACATTCAATTTAGTACACAGGATGTAGCTAAGTAGTTAGAGCATATGGTCCCCAAGAAAGAACAAGAGGCAAGAAGGCATCTTTTGTTCCATCGACACAAGTTCGGCAAACTGTATTTTTTTCCTGGTAATTACATTGAGACAATCCGTTTTTATCAGTTAACCCTTAGGATCTATCATTGACAACAGCCTGAAAACAAGGGAAGATAAAACTACCAAAAATATGTTATCCATGACAAATTTACAACTAACTGGCTTCATGAGCGGATTTTTTAGTCAGCTTGCACAACTATGCAAGAGATTCTCAGACTTAATGGATCTGACCATAGAAGTTGCGTGTCACCGTTCCTTGTTCAATCCTATGGAGCTCTTCGAGGGAGTAGTGATGATGCAATTGATTGTAAGAATCATCTGCAAGATTGATAGATTCGGTCAATACAAGTTTCATGGATGAAAAAGACGGATGAAAGCCAATACATAAAAAAAATTGACTCACCTCCATCTGACACATCAGAAAGTTTCTTGAGCGCGTCAAGGATAGCTTTCTCATGCTCCTACTCCATAAACAAAAGTTCACATAGCACTAATTTAATTGGAATTTGATAGTCTAAAAGCGAGCTTTTGTTTAAAGGGTAGCATATTGTGCAAACAGTAAGGTAAGATGTGCAATGCTAAAACAGGAGTAGAAAGTACTCTGAGGATTGACTTCGCCTTCTCAATACAAACTGGGTCAGGGTCACCTCTTCCATAGACCATCCTCTCAACCTGCCATAGAGAATTAGAAAGTGTGTATGCTAGAATAGATAACTTCTTGATAAACACCTAGGGGAACTTTTTGAGAATCAACACCGTATCTCATGGGCTAAAAGCTCTCAACATGTAATTTGCCAGAGTTGAAATATTTAAGATGAGACCATAATTTCAAACAGGTTCACCCTGTGGAATGTTGGTTTTTCAAGTTAATCAATTCCAATGTCTTCATACTTTTCATATAAGCATGGAAATTGATTGAAATCAGTTGATCATGGGCATGTAGTTAATAATATGCTTCAATATTAATGGAGTTTTGAACTATAATTCTACTTCTAAAGGCAGTCCGCTTACTGGTGCAATTAATAAAATTTTCACAAGTGGACGTAGCACAAATGAATATGGTGAGATGAAAGAGTGGTAGGTAATAGACGATGAAAGCAGAATCGGTGCATCAATGCAGTGTAGGGATCAAAAAAACACAATAAATGGCTGAAACTATAGGGTAAAGTATAAACAGCCCCGTTTTATATAGAATGGACAAATACCCCCCCGTTGTTCAAAAAACCCTCTACATTTTCCAAATTGAGCAAATAAGGACATTTTGTCAATTTGAATACTGAACCTAAAATGTCCTGAAGACCCAAAAAAAAACACTGATTTCAGTTTTTAAGGGTATTTTGGGGTTTTTATATAAAAAAAAATTGGTCAAAATTGACGGTCAACAGATAGCAACGGGATTTTGCACTTTACCCGAAACTATATTATAAGGTTACATGCAATGAAGTCAAAAGAAATTATTGCAGCAACAGCAAGGGGAAAGACCAAAAGTAACATGATTGAGGTTGCATCTAAGAAACTAGAAACCCAACGATCTAATGGAAGTTGAAATGAAGATGAAGTGGTTCCTCCAACGATAACTCAGCATGAAGTATGAACTCACAATATTATTCTGAGTAAGTACACACTGATTAACATGATAGTGACTTGCTACAATAATGTGATAGTAAGATACTAGCCACTACAGCCTACAGTAACTATATCAAGGTATCATGGAATTCTTCCTATTTTTAAAATATAAATGAATAATGTTCAATAAATAAAGATAAAAATTAGACCAACTAAAGAACCCAAAACTACCACGGACGCATCCACCTAAACCTAAAGAAGATTTCTTATTTGGTTTAGGGCCTGAAGCCTTAATCTTGGGCTTCCACATGGGTATGTTTCCTAATGGCCAAGTAATTGTTAAGGCATCAGTGGTTTTCTCATAGGGTGGGATATCACACCAGCTATATGTGGAATAATACCAACTTTTATGGGGAAAAATTATGACATCAAATATCAGCTCTATTTCTACAACTGAAGGGTTAAATACAAACTTCAAACTTTCCTAACCCCAAATATTATGGCAATATATACAAAGATTAAATCATCAAATTTGATTTTTTTTTAATAAGTAAGACCCAAACGTCCCAATCAGAACTTAAATCCAGCACCTCCCAATTTGGATTAGCAGGAGATTCTACTCAAGCTAACAGCCACTAATGATGTATATATTACTAGAGTTTGGCTACACTATATCCCTCCTTGAGCCAAGAGGATACCAAGTCTTTAAGGTATAATGAATTCAAGGGTCCAAGCAATGTAAACCATCATTACATAAATACAGCAGCATAAAATACTTTCAACTGCCTTTTCCGAACCAAGAGGTGTCAGTTCAACTAGCTACTTAATTATGCGAGTAAAAAATGCCTTTACTACGATTAATAGATAATAATTAAATTAGCTACTTAATCAAATGTAACTTAGCATCATCCAACAGAAATAAAAGGTTCCCAAAATCCTAGTAACTCACAAGAATATATAAACTGAGCTCTTTCCTCACCTCATAGATAAGCTTATCTGTTGCACGTATCTCAATTTTATCAGATTTTTTCTTGAATTTGCCAACATCAGCTCTATCAAAGCCCTTCTTCAATTGAGCTTTCACTAGTCCTCTACGATTACTTACAGCTAGGACCGGAATGCCATGAACAAGGTAGTTCATAGATTGCCCAGTACTCCCAGTGGAGGGCATAGGCAGTTCTCTAGTCCATTGACCATCCATGAACTGTACCTGCGCAGTGAAGAAACTTTCAGCATTACATAAATACAAACAAATATTAGTATATATGTAACACATACAAATATTTTACAAATACTGAACAACATATTTCCAAAATCCTAGTAAAAGTATTTGAAAGCACTGCTGAAGGCATTGAACACAAATCTGAGAGAGAGAGAATACAAAATAGCTTCTTGGGTCTCAGCAGTAATGGGCCCAAAAAGTTGGCCTTTTCAGTTACATTCGCATAAAAACTATGTCAATCCTTCTGAAACAGGCCAGTGAGTCAGTGACCAACCATATTTAGGAGCTAAAGCATTGCTTCAATGCTTCAATTGGAACTTGATCCTGAAAAGGAGTGAATATCTTCCTCGTCTATCCTAAATGACAAGATTGAGGCATGAGATGGAAGGTAGTGTAATACTGACTGTCTGACTCCCAACCACAAACTAAGCCTTTACTTTAGCAGCTGTACTCAGAAAGCTCCACAAAGCCTAATATACATGCGTATCCTCCCAAATAATAATAATAATAATAGTTTACAAAGAATATTGGGAATTTTAAGTCTCATTGTCAGTCGTACTACCAATATCCTTCAGCATTCATAAATCTCAATAAAATTTAAAAAATGTATATACATAATCAAAACAAAGAATCAAACAACAGACAATAGAATCGAGATTAAACTGGCAACAATCCAGAACATAAAAAATCCAATTCAAATCCCAGAATATCTTGTAGATACCAGCTAGTTTAGTCGGGAAGGCATGTCGGTGGTAAAAACCACATGTTTGGCTTAAAATTTTTAAATGAGATTGAACGAGGTCTTTATCCCTGTCTCTGCTTGCCTGTCAAAAGAAGGATTTATATGGATATAAAGAAAAAGATAAACAGCGGATATTTATAAAAGTAAGCTCATATATTAGATATACCAGCGGTGAAACTATCATCTCAGAAATCATAATTTAGAAGTGGCCAAATGGCCCAAACTTTGGAAAACCAAGCTCTCTCTTTTCTAAAATTTTGGAGAAAGAAATACTGAGGTGCCTATGAGCAAAACTCTCTAGCATACTTTGGATACTAATCAAGCATACTGCTACAGTTATACTTGGATAAGGGCACTATTAGACATCATTCTACTCTCTGCTCACAGGTCCTGTCATGATGATCCAACATTGAGAGAGTAGTTCATTATGTTGCAAATGAAGCAGTTCACACATGACCACTCAAGGGGTGGCCGATTTGGCATATAGCCTCCAGCCATAGCCTCCAGCCATATCCCATAGGTCTCATGTTCAAATCCGAGGCTTCAAACCTATATCCCGGTCTTACCTAATGACCGTGGTTTGTGGGTGGTTGCAGGTATCAAAAGGATTAAGCACACTGGGGACACCCTCCATTACCAAAAACAAAAAAAGGAGGACGAGGAGGAGGAGGAGGAGTAATATGGATTCCGAAGTGAGCCGCATGAAACAAAAATTAAATAAAGAAAGAAAAATATGTAGAAATAATATTTGTCAGATTATTTCACCTAAAAAAGGGTTTTGTTTCTTGAACTAATCAATCTATTTTATATTTCAAATACAATTAGTTGCTTGAAAAATTATACCACAATTTAAGGGGGAGCAAGGTTCACCACATAGCCTTTTTTGCAGTCTCTCTTTTTTTTTTTCTTTTTTCTAAATGTGCTACTCTCCCCAAATCTGTAGCAAGCTCAAGAGACATAAGAAGGAACAAAAAAAGATAGAACGTTTAAGTCACAGAGATGTATGTTTTTCTGTTCTTTTTATGTTCTGTTTTGTTTTTTTTATATGGTCACCAAGCTGTGCATCTTATTGTCAGAAGTTTCAAAAAAACTGCTTCTACAGAGAGAAATGGTTCCATGCCAGTGAACTCAAAAATCTGATTGCAAAAATCCCATCATGTTTCCCAACATTTGGCCAGCTTTTTACTCATATATGAAGCATGACAGCATGAGCGCCCCTTTCCTGCTATTTTATGACAATAAGGAGCCCAACCTCACTTTTTAGTTTCTATTGAATAAGAGGATGTGAAGTATGGACATTTTTTACTATTTTCTTTCATATCTGCCAAGGAAAGTTCTCTGAATGTATGGAGTTGCTCTAAATCTATCACGACATAGCTACCACCTGCTTTATACTACACAGTGGACTCATGTTTTAAAAGTTCTCTGATGTACATATAGCAATTCTACCATACATATCTGAAGTAAATAAATACATTACAATAATGCTTCTTGATATTGTTTTATTTGTACTTACTGGAAGCGAAGAAGGTATAGATGCTGAAGTGCTTTGACCATGCGAAACATACTTCTGTAACGAAGCAGCAGCATGGGAAGTCTTCGATATCTTGTGGGCAACATTACCCAGTGAGCTAGAAATGTAGCCAGGAGCATTCATTTTACTGGAGACTGATTCTTGAGCATGGGAGGTACCTTTCCGCCATTCCCTATGTCAAACAAACAAAGAGTAGTTAAAACATAAAATATTGTTCACATGCTCGGAATCCATAACTAATTCAGGCAGATGAATCAAAAGAATAATAACATACACAAACATATGAGCACGCACAAAGAAATACAATATTGATTATTGTAAAACCCCCACTCCAAACAAAAAAGAATATGCACACATATATAATGAAGTAGCACTATAGCCACCTTATTATTCTAACAGACTCGTCTGAATCAATTCTTGCAAGGAGTTTTTGATGTTCATGATCTGCAACATTAAGCTCTTTTCGCAGCTCAGTTAGAAGCCCCTCTTTCCCCTGTAATTACAAAATGAATTAATTGGACAATTAGGATGAAAACTACGAAATGAGACACTCTCAACAGCAAACCCACATAAGAGATGCAAAATAACCATACAAGTAGAAACCAGGAGTGGCATATTTTGGGAGTTCTACAGCAAAACTGTTTAGATAATAAAAGTTTTTTTTCTTGGTAATTAAAAGAATAATAATAATATGAGTTTACCCACGAAAGAACATCAGATTGAGTAATGAAAGCCCTCAAGACGGCCCCATATGCCTCAATCTCGATACAGTGAATTTTAGAATTCACATCCATTGCATCCATTCCATGAGATTCTGTTCTTAGAGTCATCCTCCCATTCATGTGAGAATGAACCCACAAGGAATTGTTGATGTGTTGCAATGGCAAATTTATATGAGCTCCTGTCAAACGTGAAATTTAAGTGATTACGAATTTTGAAACAACGAAAAAAAAAAATGAAAACAAAGTACACTAAGAGAAACCATCTTTTAAAGTCTTTAAGCAAACAATAGAGTATAACAATATCATTCAATTAAATAAAAAAGTCCTAATAAATTATTAGAAACTCCCACCCGGCCACCCCCTTATGATCCAGTTACATATTAAAGTGGGTTCTTTATAAAATAATACTTTTATATGATATATTTTATACACATTAAACAAACAAAACAACAACAAAAAAAAAAAAAAAAATCCCTTAGAGGGTTCATTCTACCTGTTATTTCTATTTCTGCGAATCTCTGTCCGAAGTTCTCTTTCTTTTCGTCAACTTAAGAATGTCATTGAACGAAATTTCACTGTTGTAATCAATCCCTCTCATTAAACCTCTCTAAAACCCAAAATAAGAGTACAAAAACCTTACTCCACAAAGTACTTTCTCGAGCTTCTAAAAGACATAACATACCTATGGTATCTACAGAAGAAGATCTCGACTCTCTCTCTCTCTATATGTATATAAATATCGTATCAACGCATTCATTAAGAACAATATGTATACGGTAAATCCAAAATCTGGTGCCGCTATTGAGCATAAAAACCATTAAATTTCAAAAGAAAGGGAAAAAAAAAATACATGAGAGAGGAATAAGGTGAGGAAAGTGATGAAAGATTACCAATGCCGTCGTGATTAGTGAAATCCATGGGAACAGCAGTGCCTCTCCGGTGATCTAATCCCGGAAACTCACGGCCGGAACATCAACATTTCCTTGGATTTGCTTTTCCACTTTACTCATTTCCACTATGGGGAGTCGGTGAAAAGGCAAACCTTCTTTGCGTTTCCCTCGCTGCGTTTTTTTTTTTCTGTTAATTAATTTATTTATTGTTATTATTATTATTTTCTTTTTCTCGACAAAAAATAAAAATAAACTCATTATTCGGAAAAATAAAAAGATAAAAAAAATTCTTCTACTCTAATTTATAAAAGCCCTTTTTTTTTTTGTAAGATTTTTAAATAATTTATATAATGAAATGATGTGATTATTGTGTGTTAAAAAACTTTTTAAAAAATAATTTTTCCATTTATTTAAAATAAAATATAATGATATTCAGGGAAATAAAATAAAATATAATGATGATACTAGGGAAAATAAAATATAATATAATGATATATTTTCATAAAGTTTGAAGAAAATACAGATTTGCCATAAAGTTTCAAGAATATATTTTTGTAATTACAACAAGCAAATCGTCTTGGTTTATTTATTTAATTATTTGGGTCAAGTACATAAAAATACCTTTAGTGTATAGCCCACCTAGTACTTTCGCCCTTTATTTTTGAAATATTGTGCGAAAACACTCCAAATAAAAATTTGACATAAAATAATGTAGTATTATTTGTATTGCCCTTTCAGTTTTTCGAAAATGTCCAAGAAGTGGTGTATGCTAATAATTTCATAATATAGGAGCATTGTATTCATATTTAATCCACTTTTAAGGATTTTTTCTTACCTTTTTAAATAAAAAAAAATAACAAATTTCTCTCTATATATTTCCCTTGAAAGTATAATATCCCTTTTCAGTTGAGAGTTATACACTTGTACATTTCCTAAGACTTAACGCCACACGTAAGTTAATAAGTTATAATATATGTAAGTTATAATATATATATATATCAACAAAAATATTTGTTCTCACATAATCCGGAGTATATCACGTTAAATGAAAATCTCAATTCTTTTTATAATTATAAAAAATAACAATTATTCACAATTGAAATTTAATATAATTATCATTTTTCATTAAATATGTAATTAAAAAATTAAATTAAAGATATTTATTGGTTATATATATGCACACACAATATACATTTAATTTTTTAAACTTTACAATTTGCAATATATTTTTATATATATGCACACACAATATACATTTAATTTTTTAAACTTTACAATTTGCAATATATTTTCACAAATATATATATATATATAATTCTTTATATAGCAAAAAAATAAGTTTCGAATTCAAAACAATAATAATTTTTAGAATAAAGTGCAGAAAATATCTCCTATAGTATGTTTAGAGTACGTAACACACTCCTCGTATACTAAACAATGTCATTTCACTTTGTATCCATTTTCTTCATTTCACAAAATGTTTATTTTTAAATAATATGTAAAATGTGTATATAAAGATAATTTAGGCAAATTATATATATCAATGTATCAGGGACTTATTTGTACAAATTGAAACTTTATGAATGTTTTCTACATATAATACTATAGTAGTGTTTTACTACTTTACCCATGCATGTTTTTTGTCAAATGAACAGAAAATTTATCACACTTTCTGTTTTTTTAAATCTTTAAACTTTGACTGTATTAATAGGTATGTTAGGATTAATTTTTTCATATATTTGATTTTATATTAAATATCATCATATATTTTTCATAATTAAAATCTATCAAGCTTGCAATGATTAAATATTTTTTTTTTTTCCAACATAAATTATGTGACAAAATAGAGATGACTTTTCGAGCCTACCATAAATTATTTTCAACCAAATTATTTTTCAACCATTTGCAGCCTAGCTCAGGAGCAATTTAATATCTTCGTTCAAAATTGTGACAAAACATTAGCAATATAAAAACAGTTGCAGCGCTTAAGTATTTACACCCCTATTTTATCGCCAACCATTCACCCATCACCAGTTTCAACCGAAACCGCGCCGACATGAATTAATCTACTGCTTCTGCTTCCTCATCTTTAATTTCTTAAAAAAAAAAAAAAAAAAAACCAGCGCGCAGTTGTATCTAATCATAGAAAAAGAAAAATAGCTTTCTCCTTTCTCTCTCTACTACTTTCTCAGCCTACAAGCTATGCTTGAAAAAGTTTGTTTGATTAGGTTATATGTATATATAATGAACCCATCACCAGATTCACCACAACGTTAATTTTGTTAGAGAGACATTTTATTGCTGAAGATGAGATACAAATTGGGTCCAAACTCTTACCCTCATCTTGATCATATGTGTGTATACATATATATATATATATTTAATCTTGAATTTTTTCATTGTTTTTCAAACAAATTTGCTTTCAAAACTATCAAAACTCATAATTTTTTATCAAGGTGGTGATTTTCCCGCAAGAATTGATCATCGTCGGAACCGAAATAGATGGGGATGAAGAAGTAGGTGATGTATGTTGGAAAGAGAGAGAGAGAGTAGAGAGAGAATGGGAGGAGAAATAATCAATATTTTTTTATTGCTTACATGTAGGGTTTTTTTATAAAAAATTAGTCAAAATTAATGATTAGGGGACAATTTGCTCGAGGGATTATATATGCACATAATTATTAGGGTAATTTCTACTCACAGGTTTGAGTCGATACTATTCAGCGGTCAACGCATTAATTTATATCTACATCTCCTGTGTAGGGATATCAATTTTTACCGCCCCGTCGGGGCCCCGCCCCATTCCGCCCCGTTAATAACGGATATGTGAACACTTATTATACCGTTGGGGCGGACATGGATACAAATTTTGTACCCGTCGAGGGTCACGGGGCGGGTAAGGGTTCAATATACATATCCTAGGGGCCCCGCCCCGCCCCGCCCCGCATATAACTATATTTAATATATATATATATATATATATATATATATAAGTTATTTTAGCGGCTTACCCAACCCATCTCTTACAATCCTAATTTGGGATGTAAACTTAGTATTAAATTTGCTTTTGTTTTGGTTATGGTGGAAGTTGGAGCTTAGAATTTCTTGTGATTTGGTTGTATTAAATTTTTATTTTTGTTTATTATTGAGGAGGCCCTGGATGACATGGGCCAGGTCCGACTCGCAAAACACAACCTTCAGTCCGAACAGCTGGGTCAGCCCATAAAAAGACACTGCCATATGGGCCGAGCGGGAGTAAGCCCATCAAGAGTGACCAGGGCTTACTGAGGAATAGGCCCAGGTCCAGCAATTAGTAAATATCTTGTAAATATCTTGTAAATATCTATAAATAGGAGTTGGAATGAAGAGGAGGAGGATCTTGATTCGGGTTGAGGTGTAAGAATTCTAGAGAGAGAAAGAATAGAAGGAGTTTCTTGCATCTTCAATTGGCGCCGTCTGTGGGAAACGCAGAAAAGTTTGGTTGATCAATGAGGAGGATCGAATGGATTCAAACCAATTCGGTTGATCGAGACTCGATCTTGCGGATTTGAATCCAGATCTGAGCGATTGTGACCTACTCTGGAGGAATTACGATTCTTGAAGCTTTGGCAGGAGTGACTTCAGATCTACGCAACCGCGAGTTGCTCGATTGTGACAGGATCTGACGGATTTAGAGTCCAGGCAATTCAGATCTTGTAAACAGTGAGCATAATTCGGAGAATTAGAAGCCAGATCTAAAAATTCCTACTCACGAAGCTTAGATCTACTCGCGAGCTTGAGATTAATGCCTTTACTCCGTTCGGGAATAATGATAGGTGAAAGCTCCAATCCGATGGAGGCTGTCCAGCAAACAAAGCTTGAAGAGTTGATGAATTTGATTGAAGCTCTCAGAAAAGAAAATGCAGAATTGAAAGCTGGATTGCAGCATCGGCAAATACCCGCAGTCTCGCATCCGCTTCCGGTCGGAGAAGGAGGTGTTCCATCTAGTATCGCGCATCAAGGCGATCAGAACGAGAACAATCAGTCAGCTCACCACCGTGATGAAAGGATGATGGACAATTCGCCGCCAAATGTTCGTCGAGTTGAAGATCACGAAGGCTCGACTCACGTTGATCCGCAGCGGGAAAGGTTTGACCGAGAGGAAGTGATGGAGGTAGATCGCCGTCGAGTAGCGTCGCCTTGGCAGAGAGAGTTCATAGAGGAACGGTCGTTCGATCCGTCTTACCGGCCCTCCATGGTTACTGTCACTCATCACGGTTCGGAGGGCAGAACCGTAACTCACAGAGCTACCGCCGGACTCCAGAGAGAGAATGAAGCTCTCCGATCCGCAGCTCGGACGGTGGATTCACCATTCACCGACGAGATCTTGAATGCGCCGCATCCAAGGAAGTTTGCTATGCCAGTCTTTATTCTGTTTGACGGAACAACCGATCCGATCGATCATGTGTATCATATCCAGTTGAAAATGGCCCTGAACACGGAAAACGACTCTTTAATGTGCAAATGCTTCCCTACAAGTTTGGCCGGACCGGCGCTCAGCTGGTTCAAAAACTTGCCTAGGAGCTCCATTGGCAGTTTCAGGGACCTGTGCGATCGGTTCATAAGCCAGTACTACGGGAACAAACGCCCGCCGAAGGACATCTCGAGCCTGTTCACGATGCGGCAACACAAGGATGAACGGCTCCAGGCCTATCTTACCAGGTTTAATCTCACTAAGAGTATGGTAATCGAATGCCATCCTACTACGGCAGTTCAAGCCTTCAAGTTAGCCATGACACGCGGAACTCCGTTTCACACCAGTCTGGTAGTGAATACGCCAGCTACCATGGACGAACTCAATGAGAGAGCCGATGGCTTTGTGCGCCTCGAAGAAGAGGAGGCAGCTAATGCTCGGACAACGTCGCTTGTGTCGACCGAGGAAAAGTCCAAGGCAAAGATCAGGCAGAAGCAGGCTCAGCCGCAACGTCAGACCACTTGGAAGGCCGAAAAAAGGTCCAGGGAGGAAGAGTTGATTACTCCGCTGAAGGTCACTCTGGCGAGGTTATATCAGGAGAACAAGGACAAGTTTCATCCACCACTGCCAATTAGACAACCCCTCGAACAGAGGGATCAAACTAAACATTGTGCTTTTCATTCTGATTTCGGACATCAGACTAACGAATGCAGGAACCTGAGGAGGCAAGTGGAGATGTTGATAGCTAGAGGGGAGTTTGCGAGTTATGTTCAAGGCTCGGCGATGGAGCAGAATCGACCAGTGGAACAAATAAAAAGGAGTCATAAACAAAGCTCCCACAATTCGCAACCAGTTCGTATAATCAATGCTATCCATGGTCGACCCGAGCCTAGTGAAGAGCCAGATGAGCTGCTACGGGTGCGCCTGCGGCAGGCACAGATGAAGAAAAGGGTCGGCAATGTGACAACTCTACACCAACAGAGCCCGTCAATGCAGATAAAGTTCGACTGGACAGACCTGCAGCGTGTCCAACTGCCTCATGACGACCCGTTGGTAGTCAGTTTGACAGTGGCAGAGTGCTTGGTGCGCAGAGTTCTGATCGATCCTGGGAGCAGTGCGAATGTTATGCCAAGGGACACATTTGACAGGCTCGACATTAAACCAGAGAGGCTCAAGCCCACCGGAAATCCCTTATTAGGGTTCGATGGGAAGAGGGTGGAACCCGTCGGGATGGTGGAAGTAGAAGTTCAAGCTGCAGAGCGAGCTCTTATGGAAACTTTTGTGGTTGTGGAAATTCACCCCTCGTATAATCTCCTGATGGGAAGAGGATGGATTCACAGAGTCCGAGGTGTACCCTCAACTCTGCATCAGGTCATGAGGTGCCTCGGGCCCGATGGAGATAAAGTGATAGACATTCGGGGGGATCAGGTCGCAGCCAAAGAGTGTTATTCCGTCACACTAAAGCATGCAGGGAAGGGAAAGGCGCCCGTCCGGTCGACAAGCCCCAGATAGCAATTACAGGAACCTCCACTCGAGCAGAATAGGGTGGAGGAGTCAGCCGACTTGACCGAGGAGCCCCTTCTGGATGTGCAGATCGATCAGTCCAGGCCAGAACGAACTACCAGAGTGGGTATAAGACTGACCAGAGAAGAGCAGCAAGAGCTAGTGGATTTCTTATCCCACAATGTCGACGTATTTGCATGGAGTCATCTCGACATGCCTGGAATTAGTCCTTCCGTCTCCTGTCATTCCCTGAATGTCAATCCTAATTTCAAACCAGTGAAACAGAAGCAGCGAAGATTTGCTCCAGAACGTAATCAGATCATAACGGAAGAAGTTGATAGGCTGCTTGATGCGGGATTTATCAGAGAGGTGCACTACCCTGAGTGGTTGTCCAACGTCGTTGTGGTGCAGAAGAAAAATGGGAAATGGCGCGTATGCATTGATTTCACCAATTTAAACAAAGCCTGCCCGAAGGACAGTTTCCCGTTGCCTAAGATTGATCAAATGGTGGATGCCACCACGGGGTATGAGCGTTTAACCTTTCTGGACGCATATTCAGGTTATAATCAGATTCCTATGGACCCCGCAGATGAAGAAAAAACTTCTTTTGTCACCGAGCGAGGAACGTACTGCTACAAGGTTATGCCTTTTGGATTAAAGAATGCGGGAGCAACTTATCAACGACTTGTCAGCAAAGTTTTTAAGAATCAAATGGGTAAGATTGTCGAAGCCTATATTGATGACATGGTGGTGAAAAGCAGAAAAAAGGATGATCATCTGAAGCATCTGCAAGATGTATTTGATGTACTAAAGCGATATGGGATGAGGCTCAATCCGACCAAGTGCTCGTTCGGTGTGAGTTCCGGGCAGTTCCTGGGACACGTGGTCAACCGCAGGGGCATCGAAGTTAGCCCCGCTCAAGCAGAGGCTTTGATTAAGAATGCCGAGCCAAAGACGATCAGAGAGGTGCAAGCCCTAACAGGACGAATAGCTGCATTAAGTCGATTTATTTCAAAGTTGTCAGACCACTGCAAACCATTCTTTGACACGATTCGGAGCCATGGAAGGCAGGTCTGGGGGGATGAGCAACGACAGGCATTGACTCATTTGAAGCAATATATGCAGAATCCGCCAGTCCTGTCAGCCCCAGAACCGGAAGAAAAGTTATTTCTATATCTTGGAGTATCTGGTGTCGCGACGAGTGCCGTTCTGATTCGTTGCAAGGAAGGGGTGCAATACCCAGTATTTTATGTAAGCAAGACACTGATGGAGGCAGAAAAAAGATACTCAAAGGCCGAACGGGTGGTACTTGCACTTGTAAATGCAAAAAGAAAGTTAAGGCATTATTTTGAATCCCACCCCATAGTTGTTCTAACAACTTTCCCAATCAGAACGCTCATGCACAAGCCAGAGCTCTCGGGCAGAATGACAAAGTGGGCCATAGAGTTGAGTTCATTTGACATAACGTACGAGCCGAGAACAGCTATTAAAGGGCAAGCGGTGGCCGATTTCCTACTAGAATGTGATGCCGAAGATACGGAAGAGGACATTAGAAGCGGCTCTTGGAAACTTTTTGTGGATGGCTCCTCTAACCCGACGGGGGCTGGGATTGGGATCAAACTGCAAACCCCAGAAGGTACTTCCTTGAGCCAAGCACTCAGACTTGAGTTCCGAGCCACCAATAATGAAGCGGAATACGAGGCGTTGCTAAATGGATTAAAGTTGGCCAAAGAGCTACAGATCAAAAGTTTGACAGTGTATAGTGACTCGCAGCTGATTGTTCGGCAGGTAAATGGTGAGTACGCAACCAAGGATGACATGATGGGGGCATATCGTTCTGCCGTTCTGCGTAGAGCCAAGGACTTTGCAAAGATTGAATTCATACAGTTGCCGAGGGAACAGAATGCAGATGCAGACCGTTTAGCATGCAGTGCTTCAAGTTGTGGTGAAACATTGGCGAGGGTGATTCCAGTGGGAATAGTGACCCAGCCGTCCATTTTCGAAGAACCGATGGTCTCGGACCCTTGGCAAGTCAACGTCATACCGTATGAACCGAGTTGGATTGACCCAATCATTACCTATATTCGAGATGGCGTTTTGCCTATGCAAAGGGATGAAGCTAGGAAACTCAAAAAGAATGCTGCCAAGTACGCCATCGTGCGGAACCAGCTGTACAGAAGGTCCTATTCTGGCCCGTACTTGAAATGTGTCACCCCCGCGGAATCGCAGCAGGTATTGCGAGCTATTCATGAGGGTGTGTGTGGCAATCATTCTGGGGGAAGATCGTTAGCGCATAAAGCAATGACACAAGGGTATTTTTGGCCAAACATGTCAAGAGATGCGGAGGAGTTCTCTCGAAGGTGCGATAAGTGCCAACGATATGGACCAATGATCCACCAACCACCTGAAGAATTGCACGTAATGGCCTCGCCGTGGCCTTTCGCGCAATGGGGGATGGATGTGGTCGGTCCTCTGCCAACTGCAAGAGCTCAGAACAAGTATGTGTTACTGGCCACGGATTATTTCACTAAATGGGTGGAGGCAGAACCGTATCCTAGCGTGACTCAGACTCAGGTGAGACGATTTATCTGGAACAACATTATCTGCCGCTTCGGTGTTCCCAGAACAATAGTCATGGACAATGGCACAAACCTCGACAGCAGGCAAGTAAGAAAGCTGCTGGAGGAGTATGGAATCAACCAGAAGTTGGCTGCAGTAAGTCATCCTCAGGCTAACGGACAAGCAGAAATCACAAACAGAACCATTTTCGCCTGCATTAAGAAGAAGCTGGAAGATCATAAGGGGAAGTGGTTGGATGAACTCCCGAACGTTCTATGGGCTTACAGAACCACCCCAAGGCGGCCGACTGGGGAGAGCCCGTTCGCGATGGCGTATGGTACCGAAGCAGTTATACCGGTTGAGCATTTAGTCCCCACTATCAGAAGCTTAGCATGGAGTCGAGATCAGAACGACAAGATGTTAAGATTGAACCTCGACATGATAGACGAAAGGAGGGACGCAGCGGCTATAAGGCTAGCATCGTATCAGCAAGTGCTGGCGAATAGTCACAATAAGAGAGTAAAACACAGGGATTTTGCCCCGGGCGATCTGGTTCTGAAAAGAAAGGTGGGGATGGTCAAAAAAATGATGCCACCCTGGGAAGGCCCATACAGAATTGCAGAAGTCATTGGCAAAGGGGCATATACGTTGGAAACCATGGCGGGAAAGTTGGTCAACAAGCCCTGGAACGCCACGTCTCTGAAGAGGTACTATCAATAGAAGCTAAGTTCTGGTTTTAATTGGATGTTATTTGTTGTTAATCAAATACATATGAATGAGCAAGTTACCGGAATTTACAAAAAAAAAAGAGAAGAATTTTCTTTTCCAATGGTCTACTATAAAAATTGAAAGCCAAGTGGCAAGTGGCATTCTAGCCGAGCGCCAGGCACTTAAGCAAGATAAGTGGCAGCTGGCACTATAAGCCGAACGCCAGACACTTGCTAAAAATTGAAAGCCAAGTGGCAAGTGGCATTCTAGCCGAGCGCCAGGCACTTAAGCAAGATAAGTGGCAGCTGGCACTATAAGCCGAACGCCAGACACTTGCTAAAAATTGAAAGCCAAGTGGCAAGTGGCATTCTAGCCGAGCGCCAGGCACTTAAGCAAGATAAGTGGCAGCTGGCACTATAAGCCGAACGCCAGACACTTGCTAAAAATTGAAAGCCAAGTGGCAAGTGGCATTCTAGCCGAGCGCCAGGCACTTAAGCAAGATAAGTGGCAGCTGGCACTATAAGCCGAACGCCAGACACTTGCTAAAAATTGAAAGCCAAGTGGCAAGTGGCATTCTAGCCGAGCGCCAGGCACTTAAGCAAGATAAGTGGCACTATAAGCCGAACGCCAGACACTTGCTAAAAATTTAAAGCCAAGTGGCAAGTGGCATTCTAGCCGAGCGCCAGGCACATGCCGTACAAACACACAGCAAAACTAATATAAAAAGAAAAAGAGAGAAAAGATATATATGTACTGAAGATAAGTTGAACAGAGCACAACACATAAAGAAAAAGAGTTCGGCCATTTCATTAATATTGAACATTTAGTTTACAAAAGAGAGGTGTCCATCATTACAAGAAGATATGAACTGGAAGAATTCGAAGGAGCCCTAGCTAGACGCCTCAGTACCAACAGCATCCTGGTCCTGCCGACTCGCCTCCTCGGCCCCATCAGCCGCCTCACCTTCATGAGGTGGGGAATCCAGGTGAATAACTGAGTCGTTCGGCTGGGGTTCAGCGTCAGCAGTGGCTACAGAGGGAGCCACGGTTGACGATTGGGGAGCGGTCAGTGGCAGAGCGGTAGGAGGAGCTGTGATGATCCTTGAGGATGCGATGTCCTGGCACTCATCAAATATACGCTCCGCTTCGGTGGGTTCTGGGTCGACATAGACCCCCAGAGGCTCGATCCCCAGATCCTGGTCTACCTCATCCGGAGTGGTGCTGGTCTGTCCCTCATCCGGAACCCGGTCGGCGAAGCCTTCCCGGAATCCTTGAGCATACCGAAGAGCACCGACCCTGGAGAACCGAGCATGAAGGGCCAGCATCCCACCACCCACTCTGCTGATAACGTCGATCAGAGCGGTACGCTCGTCCAGAGCTCTTTTTTCAAAAGCCATCCGAGCAGACTGTTCATCAGCTAGAAGACGTTGGAGTTCTGCCTTCTCTTCTCTGAGTGATTCCTGCTCAGTCTGCCAGACGCTCTTCTCGAGCTGGAGGGCGTCCTTCTCATCCTGAAGGGAATCATTCTCCTTTTTCAGGACATCTCTCTCTTGCTCGGCTTTGTCAAGCCGAACCAGCACCTCGGTATTCTTCATGGCAAGGAGGTCGTTCTCTTTATTAGCCACCTCCAGGCTGTCAGAATACTTTCGGGCCCTGGCGTTCCCCATTTCCACCTGCTTCTGCATGGCCATCATCCCAAACAATGTCTGCATAGGTGCACAATAAGAACGGTTAAACCAATAGTCAGAACGGGAGAAGGCAAGACCAAGTAATATAAGAGAATTCATGAGTTAGAAAATAAAAGTCACCTCCATAGCAGATTGGGGAAAGCGACTGAACACGTCCTTCTGGGAAAGGCCCTTTGCCGCCTCAATGTCCTTCGGAGTCCACATGCTCCTGTAGAAGGCCATAGCGGTCTGGCCATCCTTCAGCATGGTCTCGTTCGGTTTCACGAACGTCCCATCCGTTCGAGTGTACCGAGGGGCCCATGGCGGCAAGCTGGGGATAGAAGGGGGGCCTGAAGCAGAAGCAGAGCCACCAGCTGCAGGAGGCCCAGATTGAGAAGGAGCTCTGATCGCTCGGTGCAAGAGAGTACCCGGCCCAGAGACTCGGGTCCTTCTAATAAGAGGCTCCTCCTCAGGGTCGATTTCACTGTCAGGGTGAGGCCTTTTGCCTCGCTCTTTGTCCCGACCGCCCCCCGCAGCAGCAGGAGCTATGGTAGCTGGGGAGGGCGCGTTCTGGTTGGCCGCAGGGGCGCTGGCAGCAGGGTTAGTAGCCACTGCGCTCGGGACAGTGTCAGATATGGTGGCTGAAGAAGAAGCCGACGCTGGAGAGGAGGTCGCCCCAGCAGCAGGAATGACTGGGGGAGTATTTTTCCTCCTGCCAAAAGAGGGAATCTGCAGTCTGCTCATATTGTAGCCGAGTGATGAGAGCGCAAAGAGGTTGTCTGAAGTGAGGAGATCTGAGCAGGAAGGAATATCGTTCAGAACGTATCTCTTCAAGTAGTTAATCCTATCCCTGCAAACACTGTAGCTCAAGTCATCACAAGGTATTCCCAAGGAGCGGCATAAGTAAGTGCAAAAACGAGGAACGCATGTTTCACAGGGGCAGTCGTGTTTATGGGATTTGAATTTTTTATAGGAGGAGACAGAGCAGACACCAAAGGCGCTCGGGATAGGGTAATCCTCTGCAGCCGGTGAAGACCAAGCCCCACTAATACCCACTATGCTATCCCTCCAACCCTTTTCAGATTTTATTGTGTCAGTGCATATGGACATCTTCTCGAACGGGTAGAGGTGGTAGAAGGGCTCGTTAGTACGGATCTTACTGACCTTATAGCACAGAAGGAGGTCTATGAGGTCAAGGTCCAGATTTCTGTCACGCATCAATAAGAGCATAACAGATATGATCCTAAAGAAGTTGGGGTTGACCTGCAGAGGGGATATCCCCAATCTGTTGAAGACGTAACTAAAGAAAGGGTGCAGAGGGAACCTAACAACATTCAGTTGAAGGTTTGTGAATAAGACTTCGCCGGGCAGGAGGCCGGCGCCGGTCGTAATATTAACGTCTTGGGGGCAAACCCTAACTACGATGTTGTCAGGAAGCCTAAGTCTCATACGAAGGACACCCAGATCTACAACCATGGTGGAAGTGCAAGAAGAATCTAAAAGAGGGAAAATGGAAGCCTGCCGAAAGTAAAAAGAACGAAACTAACCTCGGAGGACTGCAAGATCGCTGGGAGAATGACTCTCGAAGGATTTCACCGGAAAAGGCTTAGCACAGTTCTAGAAAGAGGGAGATTTGGCTGATGATGGAGACGGTAAAGGGAAATGAAGTGGAATTCGAGAGCATTATATAGGCAAGGGGGCCCGAGGGCCGAAGCGTCGGGAAGGCAAGAAATCCCTCGAACCCCGGAACATTGATTCTGGATCTGACCGTTCGCTCCCCCACGTGGTTATCTCGAGCCGTCAGCGTCATGATGAGACGCCATCAATAATTACCCCTTATTAAATAAGGGGCAATTATGGGGGCAGTTGAGGAGGCCCTGGATGACATGGGCCAGGTCCGACTCGCAAAACACAACCTTCAGTCCGAACAGCTGGGTCAGCCCATAAAAAGACACTGCCATATGGGCCGAGCGGGAGTAAGCCCATCAAGAGTGACCAGGGCTTACTGAGGAATAGGCCCAGGTCCAGCAATTAGTAAATATCTTGTAAATATCTTGTAAATATCTATAAATAGGAGTTGGAATGAAGAGGAGGAGGATCTTGATTCGGGTTGAGGTGTAAGAATTCTAGAGAGAGAAAGAATAGAAGGAGTTTCTTGCATCTTCAATTATGTTCTTTGAATTATGTTATGTGCATGTTATTTTTTTTATTTTTATTAGAATACATAATTTTATTTATGTTGTGTCATTCCTAGGCAAAAATTAAAAGGGGCGGGGCGGGATTTAGAGAAACCCGCTCCGTTGTCATCCCTACTCCTGTGGTTTCAAAAGTATTCATACGCTATGAGAAAATGACTATTTTAATTTTAACTTTGTCAACAAATACATAAAGAGTGTAAGTTACTAATATAACCTTGTAAACTAGATTTTGAAGGACCAAAATAACCTTCATTTTACATTCTATCTCTAACCCTACACAATACACCTCTATCTTCCAAGGTTCTGCCGCCGCTTTTGGTTTTCTTTGCGCTTCCTCCAAAAAAGGAGGCAATGGCTAAGACTTGTGGTGTTAATGATGTAGAGAAAACAGAGAACAGCAACGACAGAGGGCGGCGGCTTCTTTGATGCTTATCGACATCAAAGAGTTGGTGATGGTCGCAGAGGTTGTGAATAAGACTAGAATTGTTGAAGAAGAAGGTGACGCGTGTGCGTGTGAAAAGCGTGTTAGATCTACACGCAATAGTGTGTGGAAAGCGTGAAAGTGTGTATGGTGGCGATTGGAGGAAGAAAACAATCCAGTCCGTTGTCACCACCCAATCGTCATTATTCTCTTCGCCGTGGGTAGGGTTAGGTCTTGCTAGGTGGTCCAACAACTTACTCGGCCAGTGTATGGGTTTGTGGGTATGGTGGTGGTTGTGGTGGTATGTGTCTGGGTGCGACTAATTGTCTTCTTTAACCCTATGGCGTTGTGCATGTGGCGATGGGTGGGGTGTTGTGCGAGTGTGGCGTGTTTGCGTGTGGTAGGTGGGTGTGGCGCTGTGTTGTGTGGGTGTGGCGGTGTGGGGGTTGTGGCTGTTGTTGTGGCGGCGTGTGGTGGTTGTGGCGTATTTGGTTGTTGCAGCGTGCGGTGGTGTGTTTGGTTGTGGCGGTGGTGGGTGAGAGGGGATTACAGAATATTGATTAGTGTTATTTTTATCAATTAACAGGGTAAATATGACTTTTGAAATTTCTTGGTGCCAATGTAAACTAATGCATTAATTAATGTAAATTAATGCGTTAATCAGTCACGCAGGGATTTTTTTTGCACTTAAACCTTTAAATTTATAACTACTTCGTATAATTAATGAATAAAAATAATTATAAATATCTATAAAAAAATATTTAATAAATTAAAATAATAATTTTTTAAATATAATAAATATATATAAGTAAATATATAGAACCTATATGAGAATTAGGTTTGAAGTAATATACCTATTTTCGAAATAAGTATTATTAATAATAAGATTAATTAGTGAACTAAATTTTATGTTAATGATATGGGATCACGAAATCATATTGCATACTTTGTCAGTTGATCGGAATACCTAAAAGCACAGTCTTTCATACATTAAATAACTTTTTCTATGTAATAAATAAATTTTTTTTAGAATATATATAAAAGACTTTTTTTTTTTTAATTAATGAAGTGATTAAAAAAATAAGATAAAAACACAAATTACTCTATAGCTTCACACGTACATATTTTGAAAGGTGGAGTACATAAAACCCCCTAAATTATTAGCATGTTTCATAAAATCCCCTATACATCATTTTAGAGCCAATTAGTACCACTGTATTAAATTGCCATTTTCAACCATAAAATTCAAACAAATTTCACATCTAGTTTCTAAAATTACTACCCAAAACCTTATATTTTTGTGCTTTTCAGTCTCTTAGTGATTTGATTCGTCAAACAAAAAACTAATCAAAATTCAAGCAATTCTCACATCTTGGTTTTGAAGCATATCAGGTTTATCAGCTCCTATTGTGACACCTCTTCACCGGCCCATCCCTTTTATAGTGATAACGGATAAGTGCTTTACAATGAATGAATGTAAATTATATCAATGTCACAAATATAACGATTATGAGTATTTTAAAATTTTTAAAATATTCCAAAATAGTATATAAGATATTTGCAATCTATTAAAAAATTTAAAATATTCCAAAATATTATATAAGATATTTGTAATCTATTAAGGAATTCTAGAGAATTTTACTAGAGAATTCTAAAAAAGAAGAAAGAATTTATTTATGAATTGGTGATTGTGATTATAAATTTATTAGATCATGGTGTTGCATGTTTGTTAGTTTTTTGATTAACTTATTTTATATGTGATTTCATTTTTTTTTTTTTTTTTTGTTCTTGGTTAAATAAAGGACAGATGGTACATGCTGGATATCACGGTGCACCGAAGCTTATGACTGCAAAAGAAGGATCATGAGTTTGGTAACAAACATTATCAGTTAATAAATCATAATGCCATGATACCTGATGATAAATCCATATAAAACAATCATAAAATTTGATTATTTAAATTTATTAAAATATAATAAAACAATGTAGTAAATAAATATAATTGATCAATGTTATTATCAAAGATAAAAATTGTATACAATTTCACCAAAGTGTTCGAAAATTTTTCTGTATGGTTGCAAAAACTTAGTGTGTTTTTTTATTATCATTAAAAATCATAATGCCATGATACCTGATCATAAATCCATATAAAACAATCATAAAATTTTATTATTTAAATTTATTAAAATATAATAAAACAATATAGTAAATAAATATAATTGATCAATGTTATTATCAAAGGTAAAAATTGTATACAATTTCACCAAAGTGTTCGAAAATTTTTCTGTATGGTTGCAGAAATTTAGTGTGTTTTTTTTATTATCATTAAAAGTTGTAGTTTAGTGGTCTCGTATTTTATGCTCATATGTTTGCTTTTGGATAATATATTATAAAACATATGTCAAAATACGTAATGTAGTAATTTTAATAAGGTTCATCATGGTAAACACACATACTGTTGTGGTGCGATTTATATGCTCACTTTTGGATGATAGATTTTTGTTTCTTTCAAAAGATTTGTGTTCTTTTGAGAAACTAACTTGATCTTTCGAGAGGGGATGTCGTGGTTAAGAAACTAATACAAAAATAACTCAAAATAATTTTTTTAAAATAAAATAATAATTTTTAAAAA